TGTGTAACTTATACGAGTTGTGTAATGTATTTTTTACAAATTCATCTTTTTGCATTTGTCAGTAAATTTTGAGAATTTTAATTTAAACAAAATAATTTCTGCAAAAATTTCATCTTACGAACTACAAAACGAAATATTTCAGATGAGCGCGATGCAATTCAAAAAAAGACCTTCACAAAATGGGTGAATAAGCATCTTGGCAAGGTTAGCTTATAGTATCAATCCAAGTATTTTATTCATCTCTATTTTTGTTTCATGTTGTTCTTTCAAATTAATGCAGCTTTAACAATGATTTCCAAGCTAATCTTAGTAAATTTATATGAAAAAGGTTTATGGCTCTGCATGTTGGAAATATATTTTATCAAAGGAATAAGTATTGTATTTACAACCAATTTTTATCTGAATAATAATTTTTTCTTTAGACCAATTCAGTCTAGAATTTTAACTTTTTATCTGAGAATAATATTGATCTGTTAAATTAAAGGTTTTAATCTTAGTTAACAGTGAATTTTATAGTTAAGTTTGATTAATATGTCATTCAAACTATCCTAATATGTTTTATTGCAATTTTGGCTACATTAACTCGATTACATTCAAATTATATTTATTTACAAAGATGATAGGCGTTTTTCATGTGTATAGTATTATATGTTTTATTGCAATATAATGAAAATATCCATGGACATAAACCAAATATTCAACTTATTAAGAATGTTTCTTAAGATTAAATTTCATTAATTTCAAATTGATGTGCATTTTGGAGTAGAAAATTTGCAATATTTAAAAAAAATGTTTTCCCTGGATTAAATTACTTGAAAACATGAATGTTGAAATTAATGATTTACAGACTGGTTTACATGTGGAAGACCTTTTTGTTGATCTCACCGATGGCTACAATCTCATCGCATTGTTAGAGGCACTTTCAGCCGAAAAATTAGTGAGATGTTTTGGCTACATTAACTCGATTACATTTAAATTATATTTATTTACAAGGATGATAGGCGTATTTCATGTGTATAGTATTTATATTTTTGTCGTCTAAAAATTTATTTCTAATTTTCGTTCTTTCAAGTATCAGTATACCGTGCATATTTTCATTTTCATGATAAATTTAAAAAATAATTGAGTCAGGATGATTTGAAGAACTTTAGGGGAGTTAGTTATTGAAAACGGATTAAATCGCTGCAGGATCATTTGAAATTGTCAGCGTGGCTATTAGAACCAGTTTTATTTTTAAAAGCTACAGGCATTTCATTTAGTGCAGTTTTCTTGGTGCACTTAAGCCTAGTTTAAAAGTATAAAAAAATATTTGAGCAAAATAATTGCTTGTAGTACTTCATAATCCTACGATTTCAGTCAACAGCTGATAATTAATCATTGATTAATTTTGTTTTACTTCGATGCAATTAATAATATGTTTAATAGTTATCATGAATTTGACAAGTTCAAAAAATTTTGATCTATTATTTTTATTATAGATTTATTTAAATCGTAGCCAAATGGATCGTGTTAAAGTTTCAGTTCTAATTAATTCATATTATTATTAACTGTGAGAAGTTCAAATTTCATTTGCCAAAAAAATGTCATTTGAAGTCTTTGTCTATTTTTTCCCTTCCATTACACATGTTCATTTTTTGCTGTTTAGGAATGCTTCATTCCAGCAACCATAAAAGTATTTTTGTCTGAAAAAAAAAACTATTTTTGCTATCATCAAAAAGATTTATCAATCCTTTCTTTACAATTTACGAACCAAAGCTAGTAAAACTGGTTTTAGCATTATCTTTATAGTATTCAGTTCGTTCCACACCTCTGAATCAATTTTAACTTTTCCTACCTATCAGCTTCTGACCCGAATAATTTTACTTCCATTATTGATATAACTGACATGCACGCATTACATTATTTGTACTGTCAATATAAATAATTGGCATACACATTCATTTAAATACTTCCATCTATATACATTACTGTGCAAAAAGTTTAATCGACAATATATATCACAATACTAGATTGACAAAGAGGATCAAACCTTAAATTGTCGAAAATATCATTTTATCTGCACTACAGTGAGAAAGTCATTTAAGCACAGATTAGCATTAATCTACCAGTATCGAAGCAAAGAATTTCTAACAACGCAGTTTTTAATTTGAAATTTATCCGCATTAATATAATATATGCATAAGATATAAATAAACTTACATATTTGTTGACGATTTTTCGAAAGTTCATTCATTTCATGCGAATTTTTAAATATCTTAAATGTCATTTTTTTGGTTTCAGCCTCGAGAAAACGGGTATACACGCTTTCATAGGATACAGAATGTGCAATATTGCCTCGACTTCTTGAAAAAGAAAAACGTGAGTCAAAAAACTTAATTATATCATATATTAACTTCTAGTCGTAGCATTTCAAAGCTATCAGTAAGTAATTCGGGATATTTGTAAAGTAATAAAAAATTGGTCACAATTACGAAGGAATTTGGCATCCAGTATACAGCACTCAGCTTGCTAAGTACATAATTTCAGATAAAAACTGTTAATATCCGACCGGAAGATATTGTAGAAGGAAATCCAAAGCTAACTTTAGGACTGATATGGACAATCATCTTAAATTTTCAAGTTTCTGTTATTAAGCAGCGGCAACAAGAAGCTTCTGGTGATCAGGTAAATGATTACTTCATGTGGCTTTTTGTGAATAAATTATCATGTACCTTTTTGAAGCTTAAAATATTTAATAGTCAATTTCCATATATTATTGGTCTTCTTCATGTTTGAATTTTATTTTTCATTTCACTTCAAAATGATCTATTCTTTTTCAAAGAGATAAAGATTAATATAATATCAGTATCAGATAAAATCATTTTTTGTCCTCAAAAATGTAAAGAAGTTATTCACTTTCTAGCTTAATTCATTGAAGAAGTAATGGTCATTTCATACCAAAAAGGATTACTATTGTTATCTCTTGTAAGAAAATTAAAAAATGCATTTTTTAAACAATAAATTTAGCTAGCAAACGCTAAATAAAATATGATCTACTTCAGTTATTACTAGAAATTGAATTTTTTTTGCAGATAATATATTCATATTATTATAACAAAATCATGTAAGCAATCAGCAAATTAATTATTCTACTCTCAAGTAGTTCATTTTTTTTAAAATTCATTTTTTCATACTTTGTCTTTAAATGTTATTCACCATTTAACATCTTCCATCCATCAACTTCAATTTTATTTAACGATAAGTTTGAAAGGATATTTGAAAATTATAGAAAATGAACTAAAAATATTCTGTAAAATTCAAATGTAAAATTATTAATGTCTTTCGGCCTATGAAAAAGGGAATATTCTGTAAATGATTAGAATCAGATTGAGATTCTGGAGACAGCTAGTGTTATGCTTGCTGCTAACTTCTTAAAAAAACATGCCAGTTCATAATTTGCATATCTTACAATCTTGAAAGCATCTTAATGTTCCTGTTCTTTAATCATTTTTCTTTTTGCGTACTAAGTTAAAGGCAAATTACGATAATTTTGTCTCGTGGAGTTTTGCAAAAGGTGAAATAAACCTGGGTAGTTATCGATAGAGTGGCTCTTTAATGAATGTTAAATGGCAGTGATCATCAAGAATAATTGATTGTCCAGTTTTGCGATCTATGGGAAAAGTAAAATGATTTGTGATAGAGGAAAGTTTCGAGCAGTATTGATAAATGACTAGGAGCTAAAAAACTTTTCCTTCAATGCAGATTGTTGTCGAGTAAAGTATCCTTGCGAGAAATTAAGAAAGTACATTTCGAGATTGGCAACAAAAACCAGTTATTGTCATGGAAGAAGCGAATCACTCCATTGCGCACCACTGCGTATTTACATATATCATTTCCAGATTTGCATAAACATCGATAAATTTAGATTCTCAAAAATATAATCAGATGGTTTTGCCGAGGAAAATGCAGGCGAATGTTCTACAACAACATAGGTTTGCAGATATCGCAAAGTAATACGAGAATCATCATAATTTGTTACGTTATAGCTTCTCATCCTGCTAAGAATCTTAAGTATTTAGACGACTTTACTGATACAAAATTAGCGTGGATGAAGGCGTATTTGATAGATGACTTTCACTTTGCAGAATAGAAATATATGTAAAAATTATTGTTTTACTGATTGTAGTACAAGGAAATACACAAGCTCTATACATTTCAGCGACGCTTAGAGTTCTGCTTGCAAAAAATAATTGGTTGCAGTCATTTTACTCAGAAATTTTTACGCTTCAGCAACAAAGTGCCATATTTAAATTAGGAAAATGACTCATCGTTCTTTTCTTCCGTTTTTTTTGTACTTATGGAAAAAGAAGAAATTACATTTTGATTTATTGTCATAAAAATGCCTGTAAGGTTACGAACCTTTCTTCTAAACGTCATGACACATACATATGTTCGTATGCTGATTTACATTTGATGAGGCTTCTTATAAATATTTATGTAGTGACTTTGTTGGTTGCTAATAGAATATTTCACTGTAATCGAAACTAACTCTATTACATTACATACAGCAAAGATTACGTAGCTTTTTAACGCTCATTTCTGCGTATCTAGCGTAAACATTATTTGTACGAAAGTTGATTTGAATGTAGAAGTGTACGTTACGCCATTTATTCCTCAAGAATTTGTAGGAGCAAGGCAGAAATTGAAATCACACCTGGGCGTGCACACTCCTATAACGCACATACATACATACACCCATTCTGTTTACCAGCACTCTGTGGTTAACCATCTCTTTCTCAGTTAGTTTACGAAGTCACCGTCGTTCAGTGCTGCCTTACTTCTGCTACCATTTTTAATAGTGACTGTTGGCTGTACAAGGACATATAATCTGCACGTGTACCTTCTACGTGCAAACGTACGAGTTCCGTCATCTTCAATATTGATATATTCTACCTCTATTATTACTAGCAAAAACGACACATTACGGACGGATATCGTAACGACTGCTCAATTAAGTGGATATGTATAAGGTTCTCCGTTCCTATACAAAAAAAGCAGAGCGGAAACATGAATTAACTCGATCAGGAGCCACCGGATCTGACAATGTCAATGGCTTTTCGGCTGGTGAAACATGTTTTAATACATCATCTCACATATCGGGGATGGGTGCTAATGTGGAAGATACACGTAATGGCCAAGTGATGCCGATGGATCGGAATGGACGCATCGAAACTATATGGCCTGTTGGACAAGCCTTCTCTGAAAGTTCTTCATACGAAACTCGAGAACATTTTGAACGTAAAGTTCAACGTGTTAAGAAAACACGTGGTGAACGCGACAGTAATCGAAAGTCAAAGAAAAACAAAGTTGGTATACTTCTGTTTGAGTCTGTCTTTTGCATCAAAAAAAGAGAACTGTTTCAGCTCCCGAAAGTCCAGGTTACAAATGTGTGGTTATGAGAGTACTCAATTTATTAAAATCATACTTCAGAATTTGGTCATAATAACCTAGTCATAAAAAGCAGAAGCAGTTGGTATTTTATGCTAGAAATTATGTTTCCTGAAAACTGGTTTGGAAATCACCCAAAAATTCCTAAGTTTACATAATTTTTTTTTCGTGCACTTCACTATTCACACTTACTTTCTGCTATTTACTGTCACTGGAGTTCATTGAGTCAAATTTATCATTACTGCTTGTTCATTATTTGTTTACAATTTTTAAGTAATTTTCTTTTAGTGACCTTCAATTTGCTAGCATAAGAAACATTTTAGTGTCAAATTTTCTAATGATTCCCGTCGTTTTCTGATGCAAAGCAATTTATGCAATTCTTTTGAACAATTTGATTTTCTTAAAAATTTTCTGAATTTGAGGAAAGGTTACTATTACTTTCCAAGGTAGTCATCAAATATCAAACTTTTCATTCTTTAACTATTATTGTAACTTTTTCTACGAATAATTATTCACTTGTACAGTCTTATACGTATTATGTGCATCATCACATCAACAATTAATTCATCTACAATAATGTTTTAGATATTTTCCCTTGCATTTTTTGCTTGATTTTATGGTTTGTCGTTGTTATAACGAAATCATGCTACTTTTGTGAAGTTGATAATCAAAGTTACTCTTTATATACATATTACATGAGCTTGATGGGCGTATTTGTTAGTCCAGCATTACAAGAAATGCTCATAGGAAGTAAAGCTACGACTAGAATAAATTATGCGATATTAGATGCTGTTACTATATTTCTAGTTAAATAAAAAATTGAGTCTGGGGTCAAAAGCAGGCATCTGAAGTGAAAAGCATTGAGAAAATAAGTACTTTCATTTTGTTGCTCTTTACAATCCATCATAAATATTAAGAATTCATTAATCTGTTAGAAAATAAATTCTTTTATAAATAGATTATTTCTTTGTTGAAAACTTGTACTTAACAAAATATGAATTTGTCTCTTCAGGTATCAGAAGCACTCTCAAGCACAGATGGCGTTTCAGCGCGTGATGCTTTATTGCAATGGGCACAGGATGTTACACGTGGATATCCAGGCGTCAATATACGCAATTTTACTAGTAGTTGGAGAGATGGCTTAGCATTCAATGCTATCCTGCATCGTTATAGACCAAACCTAATTCAGTGGAATAGAGTATGTCTTTTATTATATCTTCAAAATTAAGTACAATTTGGTCTGTTTTACATAATTACTGAATGCTTTTCAATATATATAT